TTCACTTGAGACGTCTTAATCAGCTGTCCAAAACTTGTTTACTTCCTGTAACTTTGTTTTGAGCCCACTTGTCCTTTCGGCTATGGGAGGATCATCAAGTTCATGTCACGGCTGCGGTGGCTTTTGACGTCCAGCTGTGTGTCCTTAGCGCTGTTCCGGCTCTCCTCACGCTGGAAAGAGCGGCGCTCCCGTGGCAAGGCAGGACAGACAGACACGACCATGGCACTTAGCTTCGCCTCACGTGGGAACCATGTGACAACGGAACGCTGATGTAAAGCTGTTCCCAAAGTTCTACATCTACAAAAGAACATGAAAGTTACTTTGGGTAGATAGATGAACATAGCAGGTAAGGCCCCCTTAGAGCGGCCAACCTTCTGAGGGGGCCTTAGCTTCCTTTTTCATATTTTTCTTTCTTTCTGTTCTCTTTTACGAACCCATTTAGGTCAGAAGATGTTAAGTCTCTCTTAGGGCACGGAGAGCAAGACCGTCGGGCGGTGCGAGCCTCAGTGTTCAAGACCCCATTCCAATAGATAGGAAGGGCACTCCATGCAGTGCTTCTCCTTGTAGGCCGTCATCTCGGATGTCTTGGGCGTCCAATCCTCACAACGAGAAGCTCGATTAAGCGCCTTAACCATCCTCATGCAGACCTTGGTACTTTGTAGCTGGCCCGGACCCTAAGTGCCAAGGAGGTGCAGTGCGAAAGTGAAAATGCCATGAGACTCTTCAGAACAACATTCATCGCTTCGTTCTGCCTGCCATGACAAGAATCATTTACTTCAGGTGGATCTGGGTCTTAGCCATTTGCGGCATCAAAGTGGGCCGTCTTCTTTTGTCCACTTCAGTGGGTGCATTGCTCTTGGGTTTCGTGGGCAGGCAGCGCCGATGATTTCTCACGCTTTACTCGTTATCTACTTAATAAGATCAGGCTTTGACGTTGTGTTTCAGACAAACCATTTCGGCCATATTTGGCCTGACTTGTGTGCAAACACGAGCTCTTTGAGGGGTGAACTATGAAGACAACATCACCAGTTTTCTCAGTTTCAACACACCCTGTTTCAATCTATTTCAGTCTTCAGTGATGACAGTGCAAGTTGCAACTTGCGCTTGCCCAAAAGGGCAGCCACAGACGAAATGGCGCAAGTGCGTCAGGGATGTGCTCTCCAACATGCTGAGCTGCCTGGTGATCTACCTCACACAGCCCTTTGCTCAAGGGGACTGGATCACCTTGGAGCAGGGCCAGGATGGCTGGGCAGAGGAGATTGGGCTTTTCTACACGAACCTTGACCTTCAAAAGGCGAACCGGGTGGCTTTGGAGGGAAAGGTCTTTTTTCAGGTTCCTCACGCAGCAGATTTTGGTTACTCAGGTGACTTAATTTTGGTCACAGATGAAGTCTCTAAGATGCTTCTGATGCGTGTCTTAGGAAAGTCATCCAATGGGACAAGCGCCCGCTCTACGTTCCCAACTTTCGCACCTCGGTGTGGTCATGTCGGCATGATGTTTTAATCCAGAAACAGTGGACGCTCACTAGTAACAAGAAAGCTACTAGGGGCTCCTGGCATCGCTACTAGGAGCAAGGACGCTATTAGGGGCTCCTGGCCGTACTCCTAGGAGCAAGTAGCTACTAGTAACAAGAAAGCTACTACTAAGGCATTGTGCAGATGCTGGTGCAGAACAACTCCAGGATGACCAACCGGCGCATCAGGTTTGACTTCAAAGTGCGGCTTCAGGACATTCCTAAGGCGTGTGTTCTCTTCATTTCTTTTCCCGAGTGCGTAGCGAAGGGTTCCCGGTTATCTGTGGCAGTGTTCGCGTGACGTTGCTTTTATGTTCCCAACCGTCCCCAACCGACTGGACTGCAACAGTCCGAATGTGGTTGGATAAGGCCCTGCGGGGGAAGGAGGTTTTTGGATGGAAGCCTAGTAGCTTAGTAGCTTCTTGTTACTACTAGTAAGGCACTTGTTACTAGAAGCGATGCACTTGTTCCTAGTAGCTTCTTGTTACTACTGTGTGCAGGTGCAGCGTTTCTTCGATCCTCACTTTCCTTCGCTGTGCCGGATTGGCGTTCGCGGCGTTCGCGGCGTTCGCGGCGTTGGATGTCGCAAAGTGCCGAAATCACTCCAATCTTGTGGTGTGGTGCAAATTTTGAAGACACGAAGATGTGATGTAGTAACGTTTCGTGTGTGATGCCTACCCATTCTGTTCTCATGCCTCCCCTCTCCTTCAAGCACTTGAAAGGGGAACCAAAAACAGCCAGCACCACCTAGGCCAGGACAGGTGATGATGACGATGACGATGACGATGACGATGACGATGAGGACGACGATGATGATGATGATGATGATGATGATGATGATGATGATGATGATGATGATGAACATCAACCTCTCCGTCGCAGCTTCAAGGTTTCAGTGGCCCAAATGTGCGGGGAAGTGATTCATGGTTCATGCATGGCTCAAAGTAAGCTCAAAGTACTCTAATGCCTCTAACGCTGTCACCCACAAGGTTCTGTCGGTTTCATTTTTCCTCCAAAAACATGAGCCTTGCACTGTGGGAGGGCTCACTCTTGCATCAGAAGGTGCCAGGTCAGGTTTTCTTTGATTTTTTGCCTTTGCATTTCTATGAGTCGTGCCTCTGGCAGATCCCAGCCATTGTCAAAGAGATCGAAGAGACAATCAAAAACCATCCGCAGATTGATGGCATCACTCACCGCTTGGTCGGATGGCGCGAGGTCGGCTGCATAATTTGGTGAGCAGTCAGGTTTCAACATCTTCAACTTAACTTCTTTCAGCGGTGCAGTTTCTTTGCCGAGACTCGACGCTACCCGATGCTTTATCTGGCAGGTTGGTGATTATTTTGCGCTGATTTGGCTGTCTTGCTGCTTGGTGGATTTAACTCACTACCTACCCTGTAGATAAAAGCATTCTACCTCTCTCGACGCCAAGGTTACACCAAGTCCACTGAGCAGGACATCAAACTGTCTCACTACATCTCTGTGGAACAATCAATTCTGGAACGCTGCACAGCGCCTCCAGCTACACTTGGAATATTCGCGTTGGTACATTTCGTCATGAATGTAACCCTGGGGTGTGTGTATTCAGCTCTAGCAGGGTTTTGCATCCCTCAAACGATGCAACCATCCAATTAAGCATTCTGCCAAGCCTGCAACCAAGCTTTGCACTCGACGCCAGTTTTTGCTATTGTTTTACATTTATGGTATCTCATTTTTCTGCCTGTCTCTGTCCTTATCGCACAATGCGAGGCAATTATCTACAAACATGGTGCTGATTTCGCGTCCTCCACGGACCTCACACTGCATGGGGACACGATCTCTGCGCAGATCCTCGAGGGATCCAAGCCCAAGGAGAGCGCACGAGAAGATGATCAAAGCAAGACTTACTTGTATCACAAGTGGCGGCCATATGTTTTATGTTGCATTGGCCTAGAGACTATTTCCTTTTGGCTGAAGCCTTCATACTCGAAGCTGCGAACCGAAACCTACCCGATGGTTGGTTTTAGTTTTGGTTTTGAAAGCCGTTCAGGATGCAAAAGCATCAAAGGTCAATATCAAGACTGGCGAGGACACCCTGCGCATTCTGGGTAGGAGTAGAGCAGTCAAGTTATGGCGTCGATGTTGCAAGAAAAGTGTGTCTTCACTGTCATCGTCATCCCATGCTCGCTCTTGTTTGTCCAATCACAAGCCATCTCCTTCCCGCAGGATCGCCATACACAAGGTGATGTGGCCTCGAGAGAACGTGAGCTGCATGACACCCGGAATGCGGTGCTACAGGCGGCTGGCCTGGACTGCTGTTTGCTTTGTTTGAGAGCCTAGTGATTTCTCGTTGAACACCCCTCACACCTCTGGCACTCCTTGGAGCCTCGAAACTTTCAAGCTTTTTCGGATCAAGTTCCATCATTTTCAGACCCATTTCCATCTCCCTTTCGTGTCCGAAACCTTTTCTCCATTTCCCGTCGAAGCCTGCCGCATGAGATGAGACGCCGTGTCGTGCTTCACGTCCAGGCGAGTGAAGAGAAACTTCGGAAACAAGTGATTGAAGTAGAGAAGAAAGAGAAGGAGAGTTCATGAGAATTGGAGCTGAACTCGATCCTTGAATTCCTTGATCAAGACGAAGGTCCAAGATCCATTTTGCCATGCACTTTGCAGACTTTGCAGGAGCTCAACAGCAAAGAACAAGAACTGAAAGAGAAAGAACAGCGTTTGGCCGCCTTGGAGGCTGTTGAGGCTGCTGAGCCTTGGATTTGAAGATGGAGAAAACAGAAGACCAAACCATCTAGATTGTTTTCATCTAAATCGTTTGCATCATCTTCTAAGACCCTTGGCCTAAGGAGACGGAGGCCACGAGTGGTGAAGAGACAGAAGCATGGGAGGAGAAGACCAAACCGGTGGCGGAGCCAGAGATTGCTACATGAGCTATGCGAGTAGCTTGCCACGTTGGATAGCTTGCCACGTTGGATATGGGTCAGAAATTTCACAAAGCTGAGAGCTGAGAAAGCTGAGAAACTGGTATGGTCCTCTCAAAGCGGGATTCCAATTCTTTTGACCCACGCCCAGTTCGTTGTGCACATCTTTTGACTGGCTCCCAGCGCCTAAGAAAGGCGTTGCTCAAAGGAACACCTTCTCTGGAGTGCAGCCCAAGAGCGCTTTTGTCCGTTTGACCTCATACATGGAACGCTGGGACCAACCTGCTTGTACAGAACAAGCCTTCGGCCGATTTGATGGCGACATTGTGGGTGTTGTGGTCGCCAGATGGCCCAAAGTGGCTAAAAGAAGGAGGCCTTAAGGCCAGCACTTTTCATTTCCCCAAACACAATCATATTGTATTCGTTCTTCAGCCTGTGCGGCTGAGCTGAACACAACCAAGCTTGATGGCGGCTGTCTCGAATCAAGGAGGAGCTGCCACATGTGCCTTGCAAAACGTCCTGCAATGACCAAGGTTTCAGTGTTGGACAAGTAAATGGACTTCCCTTTCTCTCCTCACAGGTCTATTTCGATGGCACTGCACACGCGGAGGCTGAGGTGCTGCGTAACTCTTCATGAAGCACAATCGCATACTCCGTGCTGGTTCCAAAATGACGAGAGATCTTTGAGCTGGTCCTTTCTAGAATGCAAGAAGGAAGCTGGTCTTCAAAGACTCCATACAAATTCAATAAAAAGAGGTATACTATATATATATATATTTGCTGTAATTATATACATTGGACATATCTATGTCTGTTTTTAGCTCTGATGACTTGGAATACTGGCCAGAGAAGTTAGCCTCACATCTATTCAGACTCACACTCTTTCTTCAGCTCAGGGCCAAGTGGTGCCCTTTCTTCAAGCACAGCTTTGTGAGGCAGGTTGGACACCACTGGAAAGGTGGTTCCCTTCCTTTGGCGTTTGACAAAGATGATTGACGCACGAGATCGAAATCATTGAACCCTTGATTGGTAAGATTTACTTGAATCCGTTCTTTCATGAACCTTCAAAGACACGTGTAAATTCCCTTCTGTTACTAGTAGTAAGGTGCCTTGTTACTAGTAGCTTCTTGTTACTAGTAGTAATGCCCTTGTTATATACTAGTAGCTTCTTGTTGCTACTAGTGTGCAGAAGGGAACTTCAATTGAACTGGCTTCTGGCAGGTTTTCAGTCTACTTCTGAAGGACTTGGACCAGTGAGCGATAGGACTGGACTTGATTGTCGTAAAGCGTTCTTTGTTGTTCAAAGTTGGACGTTCAGATTAGCTTCATTGGATCATTAGATAGGCCTGCTGACTCCAAGGGCTCTTGGGGTGATTGACTGGCAGTGTGAGCAGCCATTTTTGGTCGAAAACAGTAGCAAGACAAACAACATCCGACCCGTTTTTGCCATGCTTCCGGTTCGTTCAGTGCAGATTGCGCGGGCTGGAGTTGGCACCTCAGTCAGCTGGAATGCTAAGTCATCAGTGCTGATCGTCGAAGGAAATCCGAGATTTTTACCTTTTCGTGAGCTGACATGAGAATGCTGAGGTACTGATTGCAGTAACTTTGGCTCTGGGGCAATGGAGTTTTGTTGGACGTGCAACAATGACTGCGGGCGAATCAAAGGTGAACCTGGCAAGTTACAACGGATTCGTTCCGGACTTGCAGCGGCGACAGTTGATGAATGTCGTCCTAGTGAGTACGGCTGGCATTCCTGTCCTGGTGGCACTTGGTAGCTCAGCTGTAAGATGCACCGACCTTGTCCGGACCGGTTTTTCTCCTTGCTTTAGACCGAAAGGCCTGTTGGTGATGCAGACCATTCTACAGTAGATGGACCAAATATCCAAACCCCTGTATCAATAACTGTGGTCAACCCCTGACCCCCAAAGGTCAATGTTGACCATAACTTGATTGAATTTGTCTTTCCAGGGTTTGATTTGTTTCGTCCATTCGCCGAAACACTCTTGCAAGATCTCTAACATTGAGCTTTGGGGTAGAGGGGTCCACGTGGTTGGAAGGGTTTGAATATTTCGTCCATCTACGGTAGTTTTGCTTGTGCTGGGCATGTAGAGCACTCACGTACTGTACTGGTAACATGGTGAACAAATACAACATGCCTCATGCCCGTGTTTGGTAGGAGAAACGGCATGATGACAAGGACGAGGGGATCTGACCCTTCACATGAAACATATGAAACGAGATGCCTGGATGCCTGGTGATCTCACCCGAAATGTTACGGCACTTACCCAGTAGCTAGAAGCTACTAGGTGGAGGCCATCGCTATTAGGTTGGAGGCCATTACTACTAGCAACAAGCAGCTACTAGTAACAAAGGGCATCGCTAAGGTGCTTACCTCTGGTACTTTGTGCCTCCCGTTCAGATGGGTCCCGGAGGTGCCGAACTCTGTGGAGACATTGATGGGCAACCGATCAGCTACGAGTCTTGGGTGAGGAAGCACAAGGACAATGACCGCGAACTTGTCCAAGGATTGAAGGGAGAGCCATACTACCTCATCTCCACAGAGACTGGTATTAAGGACTTTGCCTTGCTATCTGTGTGCACACATTTGGGTTGTGTAGTTCCTTGGGACAAGGCCAAGAACAAGTTTTGCTGTCCATGCCATGGGTCCCAGTACGATGAGAATGGAAAGGTTGTGCGAGGCCCAGCTCCCTTGTCCTTGGCCTTGGCACACACGAGCACGCTCAAGGGGAATTTGGCCTTGGTGCCATGGACCGAGCAAGACTTCCGCACAGAGACCGACCCATGGTGGAAGTGAGAGAGCAAGACTTCCGCAGCCCACGAGTCGTCTCAAGCTCAATTTTCGCCGGCGGTGCAAGCTCCTGGTGTACAGATGCTGAGTTGCAAGCATCTAGCTTTGCCTAGAAATGCTTGAATCCGGAGGTAGCAGCCAAGGTGTTACTACACAGCTTGTAGCGACTTAAAAGATGTCAGATTTCCTTGCTTGGTGCTCAGCTTTCATATTATTTGTATATAGCTAAGTCAATCAAGTTTCTGGAATGCTGCAGAGGTTGCAGGTGCACGGGTCTCAAGATTGTCCCGTCCTCTACAGGTACCTTTGGCATCGAGATCGATTCATCTTGGAGAGATGTCCTCGGAGGACATCATACGACTGTGTGAAGCGGCACGTACGACATCATACGACGGTGAAACAACAGACTGTCAAAGCGTGACCTTTACAGTTGACCTTGTTAACAGACTCATATGAGTGGGGGAACTGAGTGCCTTTCTTTTGCAGCAGAACACACCCCAAGATTCTTTTATTCATGAGAGCCTGACAATCCTTTCTGAGGCTCTGTTTGGAAGAGGAACCGCATCTAGCAGGGCACTTGCGGATAGGTGCCACTGCTGGGGGAGGGTTTGTGGAATGATTCGACCACCCAGCGTGCACCACTTGTCAAATTCAAACAGTTTGCTCCAGCCAGTTAGGAAGGGCAGGGATAGCTGTTTGCCAGGCCTTTCGAAAAGGACATTAAAGTGTTAGTAAAGCTATATACTCTATTCCAGTGCCCCCAGTCTTCGTGTCACCCATTTGGTGAAGCGCGGACCGCGCTGCAGCAACAGCCCCACGCACACAGGTGATGGCACAGAGGATGAATGGTTTGCTGGGCAGCCAGAGCATTGCAACACAACAACGGCTCGGACATTTTGCTAGACAAAGTTGGACACATGGGATGAGCCAACATAATTTGGTTGTCAACTCTAACTGCTTGGGTCATGGACTAAGCCATACTGTTCTATACAAAAGCCTTAAGTTCAGACTTCTTACAGACCAGGTCGCTCGATGGCCGAGTTTCCCGGTCCAACACGGCTCGTGTTCGACGGTGACCTGTCCCAGGTGGTCCACCTGCTGCAGCAACTCACCTTCCTTCGGCCAGATGTCGCGCAGACGGCCTCAGATGAAGACGGCACGAAGACGAACGTCTTCAGCAGTGAGTTGTCACGTTGTGCAGGCATAGCTGACATTTTGCTTACCAGCTAAAGTTCACCAATAGAATTGCTACAAAGTGTTGGCGGAATCTCTGGAACCACAACATTCAAGGTGCTCTTCAGTGCTCTTCCAAGAACCTTCCAGCTCAGAATTCGCTGCTTTTGCAACATCCAACCGGCCTGGGTTTCTTCGCCCAAGGTGTCGTGTTCTGGACGCGGATGGCGAGTTGCTCCTCATCGAGGACTGGAGCCGTTTGGGTGGCCCGTGCGGCCGCATAGGACCCATCGCGGATTCACGTCAGAGTCAGCACATCCACTCGCCCCAACCCTATCGATCCCCTCAATTCTTATTTTGTGTTAAGGCAACAGAGTTCATTTCAGACATTGTTTTTGTTTCCTGTGCTTCAATGCAAGAATGCGGCGCTAAAGTCTAAAGTTCTTTGGGTACCCTGGGGCTTTGTTTGGAATGTCTTAGAAGCACATCAACTGAAAAGCCCCCTGCTTCGTGTCCTCCAACCTCTTCGGTGTTGAAGAAAAAAAACGTCAAGTGTTGTATGAAGGCAGAGTAGAAGACAGAGTCGACGATTGTAAAAATGTAGGCTTTGTCCAATGAACCCAGAATGCCAGACGATGATCAAAATGTGCACTTACACTTAGAGGATGTTCTGCAAACACTGCCCTTTGCACATCTTTCTGTGATGGCTAGTGAAAGATCAGGACTATGTCCTTGCTTCTTCCTTACCGAGTGCTTTCTGAGTACTAGTTGGGGGTCGAAGGTCGCAACTGCCTTTTCCACACAGTTGCTTTGCAGTTACCATACCACACCATTTGTAGCCAACCCAAATGTGTTAGGAGAACAAGTCCTTAAACAAAGCCGCTGTTTGCCTTGGCATTTTTGATAACCTTCACTTCCCTCTACGACTTTCTTCGCACAAGCGAAGTGTGTGACCCATGAAACTTGGGATGAAAGTCGTGCCTATGACAGGCAAGTCCTTAGGGCTGCTTGGCCGCTATGGTCTGGTTTCATGGAAGAGTTTCTACTGCTGGTTTTCCGTACACGTTATGGGTGCTTGTGGTCAGGCCGCCTTAGCAGCACCTCGCTGGGTCTCGCCCAGCAATGCGGAGAACCGCTGTTGGCATGGACGCCCAGAGATTGTTGGATCCTGAAATTGAGGATTTTAGACCCTCCAACCTCCAGCCTAGCAGCGATGGCCTCCAACCTTTAAGTGATGGCCTGGACCCAATGGGTTGCAAGGTTCAAGCTGCATCATATAGCCTTGGCCATCCATTCTTCGCAGAGTATGGCCCTTGATGCCAGAGTGGAGAACGAACTTATAGGGGCTTGGTGATCAAACAGTTGCCCTTCATGGTGCCCCACTTCCTCTGAGCTCAGAGTCTCGACCAACTTGAGTCAGGTGAAATATAGGCCAAGTTGGAAAAAGCCTTAGACCAGCTTCGGTTCGCGTGGAAGTCCAAGTCCATGAAGGTCGTTTGTATTCACACACCACAGACTGCAGACTCCGTTGCAGACTCCGGACTGAGGCTTCGCAAAGGCTTGCTTCACCTCTTGCCCCGTCCGGGCGCCGGTGAAGCACCGGAGCTGGGTCGGAAAGAGGCCTCAACCAAGGGGGGGGCCCGGATTTCTCGGGTGTTGTGGGTGCGATTTGACAAAGGAGTAGACTATGCTTATGTATACTGTATCTATCTATCTATCTATCTATCTATCTATCTATCTATCTTTGAAGAACGTATATACTATTGGTACGAACATCCTGCAAATTGCAATTTGAAACCTATTTGTATTTCAGTCGTAGATGCCCTGTTGGGATATGTTGGCCTCTCCAAATTGTTTCACTGGCGCCAGGGCCTTGCTCGCTTGCGGAAAGCTGGGGAGGAATCTGTGGCCCGAGGCAGCTGAGAGGTATTTTTGGACACCAGTGCAATGACTCTGGCAGTGGCCAGCAACCATTCACCCACCGAACATTCCTAACCAGCTTGTGTAACCAAGAATTGACCAAACCGACAGCTGCCACAGCCTTGACTCATGTAGAGATTAAAACCACTGGCAGAAGTAGCGGTGCAACCTTGCACGGACAGTTTGTTGTGGTCAGATATGATGGGCAGTTGACAGGGCCGTCATCAGGGAAGAACTCTTGTGCTTCTGCACTTTCACATTGGACCTCATGGGCCTCATGGTTGGTTCTCTTTTCCGAAGAAGAAGCGGTCAACGCCCCCACGACGCATGACCTCTATGCAAACGTTTGGTAGTGAGGTCTATGTGTATCCGCCACCTGAGCATGGTGCTGTTGGGATTCCAACCCTGGAACGACCGAAGGCAAGATGCAGAAGGCCATCCAACAGCGGCTGGAAGGCAGGGGGATGCCACCGTACCGAATGAATTCAGTGCCACAGTTCCTCTCAATATCCCGTTGTGTTGAGCAAAATCAAAGGTGTACCCCGGTCCTTCGACTCGTGCCTTGCAAGGGACTTCGAAAGCATCTTGTTGGCCGGTGGTTTCGACAAGTCCAGGCTATCCCAAGCGAGCTTTGGAGCTTTCACGGCACGACGCATCCTCAGTTGCCGTGCCGTACCGTACCTTGTACCATTCAAGACCTTCAACTCTGCTTCACAGAGTTGCAGAAACACGACTGGCAGAAATGAAGTATGCTCCCTCTACAAGCCGATGGTCGCATTTTGCCGGGACCAAGCTATTACAGTACTTCAAAGAACATTGCAATTGCTTGACCGCTGCGTCCCAATGCTATCCTGTTGGCAAGGAAGACATTCAAACCCTTTGGGACGAAGACCTGTGTTCCGTTCGTTTCGTTTCTGCTACGAGTCTCGGAACATGCGCTCACAAGCGCTTTGCCCGGCACGCTTTGCCGCGACCAAACAAACGATGAATGTTTGTGCTTGGACTTTAATGGCTTTGAGGGAGTAGCCTCGCAGGTTGTTCGGGCAGTGATGCCGAAGAAGGTCGCACGTTTGCTACTGGTGGCTTAGTGGCAGTCAGTTTGAGCGTTTTGGAAGGTGGATTCGGACCCGTGGTAACCAAGAACATGCTTGGAAGGCAGTGGTGGTTCCGCTGATCCTTGAAGTCAGATAATAAGGCTGAGCTCCCTCAGCTCGATTTCACCCGTTTTGTAAGTTGCCACGCACTTGAAGATGGGAAACCCCTAAACCATAGGCTCATTATCATCGGACTGACCGGTTTCTTCTCGTCATGAATGCGTCTTCACGAACCATCTCGTTCTCTCTCTCTCTCTCTTTTTGTCTTAGCCCCACGATCTCCCCGCTTCAGGCGTTGCCACAGTTAATCTCCGTGATCTTGGACCACTTGCCCACGCCACCGTCGCAGCGCCCTCAGTTGTTTGCAAGAACAGCTTGCGAAGGCTCTTGTGAAATCGCAATTCGAACTCCGGCACAAGCAGTTCAATTTAGTTTGTCACCTTGTTGATGTCAGTTAATTCTATTTTTGATGGAAACGGTTTGTGTAGGACTTTTGCGTGGCTTTCAGACTACAAGAGTGTTTGTCTGAGGCGCGAACTTCTCAGACTGAGAAGAGATTTGCCTGACCACCAGCCAGAAGCTTTGAAACCCAATGGATTTTTTCCCTCGCTTTGGTTGGTCAAGGGAACAGCAGTCCATCCAAAAGCCTCAAAAAGAAACTGGAGGCCATCTCGACTCGAGTAACTTGAGGTCTGCCCTGCATTTGGATTGCGAAGCTTTGGGGGAAGATGAGGACAGCACTTGAGCAGAGTCATGAATAGGTGTGCAATTGATGGGAGACATCCTGAGCACGCAGGAGTGTGTATGCGTGATTTGTTAAATCATGATCTTGATAATCTCGACATGGGAGGACACTGTGCAGATCGGAGTGCGTTTCACTCGGCTTCAGCCGCGTGCTCAGGCGGAGGACATTCCAGTTAGATGTGTCGAAGGGTTCGGTCGATAGTCAGGTCAGACAACAAATGGAACGAACGTCAACACTGCACTCACTGTCCACACTGTGAGGTGATTCTTTTGCTGCAAACACGCACGAGGTATGCTCGCCTCGTGAGTCTTCGCTGCCAAGTGCCGCAACGCTTCGCGCGGAAGCGCTGGAAGTCGCCGGGCCCTCAGGCCCATCAGGCCGGATGGAGGCCCTCAGGGACGAGCAAGACTTTTTCATTTTTTCCGGTTGGCTTATCTTGGACAGTTGGATTTTCCGTGCCAGTGTCAGTTTGACTAGACTTTAATCTTCAGTTTGGATTGACTGCTGATTGGGACCTTTTGAGAGTGCGGCCTCGAAAAGGGTTGTTGACCATGCTCGTTTGGGCCCCTTAGCCTTAGGCCAAAGGGTGTGAAGGAGCCCAGTGAGAAGGCCATGCAGCTGGGAGCCATGCTATGTGCAGGTTTGGGACCCAGAAAGGTTGGAGAGGAAACACTGAGCAAGCGTCCTTGCTACCAGTCAGTAGCATCTTGTTACTAGTAGTAATGATGCACTTGTTACTAGTAGCGTCCTTTGGTCTGGATGGAACACTGTCCATTTGAGCGAGAAAAGCCGCCTGTCGGCCTGTGTACTAGACTCTTGGACTAGAAAGGGGCTGGGGTCAGGGATAGGTGTTACTGGAGGAATCACGTGTTGAAACTCACCTACACAACACGCACGAGGATTCCCCAAACCTGGTTCTTTTGTGTTCTTTTAGCTTCTTTGGCTTTCCACGTTCTCAGAGGTCTTGAAGCTGCCTACTTGCAGGGCACGCAGAGTGTCCGACTGCATAGCTTCAGAGGGTTTGCATTTGTGGGCAAAGTCTGGTTGCTTTTCCTGGCGGGTTTGCTCGCCATTTTTCATCCCAGCCTTTAGCTAGACAATGGGTACTGTACATTTGCCCATCATGATGACATCCGCTTGATAGAATCAGGATCTAAGGGGAAAAGAATCAAGCTTGTGAACCAGCATATCAACACAGTGTAGGGAAGACAAGTTGCATAATTCAGGTGTCTTTGTGGGCATTGGACAAACTCAGTGTATCTCAACGGTGTACCCAGTAGAAAGAGTGTTTGCTAGACTCCTAGACTGATGCTTCTTTGATCATAGATTTGTCAAGGCCACAGCGGTCCTTCGCTGGCGGGAGGTGTGGTGGGCTGTGTTCTTCACCCTTCTCCTGCACTGGCAGAACTGCAGCTGCCCCATGACCCTGATGAGACAAGTTACAGTAGTTATTCAGTAGTTGCTTCCCGCTCGGGTGCACATCATGTGACTGTTGTAGCTGTTGCAACTCTGGAGTGACAACGACAGTTATATATATATATATATATATTTGTCATTCTTCAACGCAAGTGGATCCACCAACACATTGGTGTGGCAGGTGCCGGATTCTCTTCCTTGGTTGTGGGGGACCATGGGCTTTGAATGCCGAACTGGAGTTTCGCTCATGGCGAACTTTTCTACCATTCCCAAAGCATAATCATCGGGTCAACCCTTCAGATGATTGCAAGGTACTGAGCCAGGTACTGGTAGGAAGTGGGTGGGACTAAGATCAGAATTGGTAGCAGCTTCAAGTCCCTCTTTTCTTTGGACTTCCACATTGCTTTGAGGTCTGACCCTGATTTTCGCAAGCGCATGAGCCCCGAGTGTGGTGCTCAGGAGCTCCAGAACCTAACTGGTCGTGCTTCGCGAGAAGAGCGCGACCATCATCCGGATGAAGAGTAATTTGTGAAGCTACTCATTCAGATGAGGCATGATCAAATGTATATGTATAATGGTATATATACAAAATACAATATATATACTGTTATTTGGAGTGATTGGGCTTCACCCAGAACTTGTTCTTGGTGCCTCTGTTTGCAAGGCTCTTGCAGTCCGCACATTCACGCCGTGCCTATGCACAGCCCGATCACCTCAGCTCAGGGGGGTAGAAGGTGGTGTGCAGACACATTTCGGAGAATGTAAGCGCTAGTTAACTACCGTTTGGCATGAACTTGTAAAGTCCTTGGTGACTCAGCCTTGCAGTATTTGCTTCAACCTGGCATGGTCCATCCTGGTTTGAGGCAAGACAACCTTGGAGAGCACTTTCGAGAGGTGTGGAACCTGTTTGCGCCAAACCTAGCCGTGCCGAAAAAATGACTCGGATCTGGGACGAGTGGCCTCTTCGGCTGCTTGGAACTCGTTCAGTTCAATGGTTGAAAGTTCAGCATGTCGGCCAGGCTTTTCTCCGAGCATATCATGATCCAGCCCTTGAGGTCAGAGAGCTCAGGGAGGAGGAAACCATTTCCCTCTTTTCTTCCTTGGTTTTTGATGTGGAGGGGAGCAAAGGTCAATGAAGAGCATTCTTTGGGGACGTCTGGGACCGCTATGGGAGGTGAAGAAGATGGCAACCCAAGCCGACGCAGACGGCCCGGCCAACAAGCGGACACCGCAAGCCGGTTAGACACAGGTTCCCCAAAACGGTTCCCAACGGTTTTCGATTCAACTGTTCCCCAAACTCTTTTCCCGAAATAATTTCTCCTCCCCCCAAAAGCTGAATGTATGTCTTCTTGGTGGCAATCAGGCCATGAATTTGGAGGCGCATTGGAGGGTGAAGAGCTCAGGATATGGACAATGTGATGTGGCTGCGTTATCATCGGTTGAATCAAGTCTTTCGAGGTGTGACCTTTTGAGCACATGCTGGATGACTTGTTGATTTTGTTGCCCGAGGACAGGGATGACCCAGAAGACTGGCTCCAGGTGCTGAACACCCACATTGTTTTGCACTTTTGAGCGATCAACAGATAAAGCTGGTGGAAAGGTCCTGGGATCTCAAAATGCTGTTTGCTGTAACAAGGACTGCTCTCAACGAAAAGTCACAACCTGATGGACGCCGGACTGTTGGTACACTCACCAAGTTCCCCACGACCGGAAGCACCAACTTGAACCACAATTCACATTCAGGTTTTTGTCCTTTTGCCTCTTGTCAGTGTCTTCATCAAGGGCTTTTCATCGTTTGCAGGTTGATTGTTTTGTTTTCGTAATATCCCCCAAGAAACGAATTGGTAGAACATGGTAGAACTGTCCAGTTGCACGCATTTGTCCTTTGTCGGTTTCACAAATCAATGTGATTTCTGGGGACCAAACCGAAAAAGCTCAACCCTTCCAGGTCTCCCAGGAGGATTTAGATCAGGAGATGAAGGTGCGAACCGTGCGTGGATGGTCCGGATGAGTTGCGCAAGTGGCAGGGGCTCAAAGATGTCTCTAGGCCCTCTAGGTTTCATACTGATACTGTGGTGTTCTGGATTTTACGTTGCGTCTCCTGGGTCGGAGCTCGCTCCAGAGGTCCGACAAGCCGAGTTCGATCACTTCGACCAGAAGCGAAGGCGGACTCGTGTCGTGGCTTTTCCTTGCGGGATTTCTGCTCGCTTCAAATTAACCCTTGTTATATACTAGTAGCTTCTTGCTACTGCTACTGTAATGATCATGTTACTAGCAGCGATGCCCTTGTTACCAGCTTAAAATCAACGGTTCCAGTGCCACGACGGCCACAACTTCCTACTTTGCCATGATGGCATGTCCTATTGTTACTTTTTTCCCCAAACAGTTTACTGTTGGGGTTCTATCTTAGAAAAATAGAGCTGGCCACACTCACTGGCCGCGCCCCTGAACTCTGTGGCTGGGCTCTGTGGCTGGGCCTTGTCCTCCTCTTGTCCTCCTCTTGTCATCGTCTTGGCCGCGTCCCTGAGCTCTGTCAACTCTGTGGCTGGGCTCTGTGGCTGGGCCTTGTCCTCCTCTTGTCCTCCTCTTGTCATCGTTTTGACCGTGCCCCTGAACTCTGTCAACTCTGTGGCTGGGCTCTGTGGCTGGGCTCTGTGTCCTGGCCTTGTCCTCCTCTTGGCCGCGCCGGGCTCTGTGTCCAGGCCTTGCCCTCCTGTTGCCCTTCTGTGGCTGGGCTCTGTGTCCAGGCCTTCCTCCTGAACTCTGTCAACTCTTTGGGTGGGCTCTGTGGCTGGGCTCTGTCAGGCCTTGTCCTCCTGAACTCTGTCAGCTTGGCTGGGCTCTGTGGCTGGGCTCTGTGTCCAGGCCTTGTCCTCCTCTTGTCCTCCTCTTGGCCGCGCCCCTGAACTCTGTCAACTCTGTGGCTGAGCTGGCCTTGTCCTCCTCTTGGCCGCGCCGGGCTCTGTGTCCAGGCCTTGCCCTCCTGTTGTCCTTCTCTTGGCCGCGCGCCTGAAATCTCTCAGGGCTCTGAATCCAGGCTTTGTCCTCCTCTTGTCCTCCTCTTGGCTGGCTGGGCTCTGTGTCCAGGCCTTGTCCTCCTGAACTCTGTCAACTCTCTGTCAGGGCTCTGTGTCCAGGCCTTGCCCTCCTCTTGTCCTCTTGGCCGCGCCCTGAACTCTGTCAACTCTGTGGCTGGGCTGTGGCTGGGCTCTGTGTCCAGGCCCTGTCCTCCTCTTGTCCTCCTCTTGGCCGCGCCCCTGAACTCTGTCAACTCTGTGGCTGGGCTCTGTGGCGCCTGCGCTCTGACATACGTTCCAGAAAGGCGCGCTCAGAGCGCGCTCCACAGAGAGAAAGACAGAGATAGATAAACAAAGAGAGAGAGAGAGAGAGAAAGAAAGAAAGAAAGAAAGAAAGAAAGAAAAGAAAAGAAAAGAAACGAAAAGAAAAGAAAAGAAAAGAAAAGAAGAGAAAAGAAAAGAAAAGAAAAGAAAAGAAAAGAAAAGAAAAGAAAAGAAAAGAAAGAAAAGAAAGAAAGAAAGAAAGGAAAGAAAGAAAGAAAGAAAGAAAGAGGAAGAAAGAGAGCAGGGCGAGCGCGCGCGCTCTCGTGTGCTATAGACGGCGTGCTTACGCGCGATCTGAAATAAGCTCCAGAAAGGCGCGCTCAGGGCGCGCTCTTCAAGAGAGAGAGGGAGAGAAAGAGAGAAAGAAAGCAGGTGCTCTGGACGGCGCGATCGGGCGCGCTCTGACATACGCTGCAGAAAGGCGCGCTCAGAGCGCGCTTAGCAGCGAGAAAGCCAGAGAAAGAGAAGCTTGAATCGAAAGAGAGAGAGAGAGACAAAGAAAGACAGCAGGGCGAGCGCGCGCTTGTGTGCTATGGACGGCGCGCTCACGCTCCAGAAAGGCGCGGTCAGAGCGCGCTGTGCAGAGAGAAAGACAGAGAAACACTTAAAGAGAATGAGAGAGAGGGAGAAAGAAAAGAAAGAAAAGAAAGAAAGAAAGAAAAGAAAAGAAAAGACAAGCAAAGAAAAGAAAAGACAGAAAGAAAGAAAAGAAAAGAAAAGAACAGAACAGAACAGAACAGAAAAGAAAGAATGAATGTTTGAATGAATGAATGAATGAATGAAAGAAAGAAACAATATAACAGAAAGAAAGACAGATAGAAAGATAGAAAGAAAGACAGACAGACAGACAGACAGAAAGAAAGAAAAAAAGAAAAGAAAGAAAGAAAAAAAAAGAAAGAAAGAAAGAACGAAAGACAGAGAGAGAGAGAGAGAGATAGAGAGCAGGGCGCGCGCGCGTGCTATGGACGGCGCGCTCGTGCGCTTTGAAATACGCTCCAGAAAGGCGCGCTCAGGGCGCGCTCTTCAAGAGAGAGAGGGAGAGAGATTGAGAGAGCAAGAAAGAAAGAAAGAAAAGAATGAAAGACACCTGGGCGAGCGCGCGCGCTCGTGTGCTATGGACGGCGCGCTCGCGCGCGCTCTGAAAATACGCTCCAGAAAGGCGCGCTCAGGGCGCGCTCTTCAAGAGAGAGAGGGAGAGAGATTGAGAGAGCAAGAAAGAAAGAAAGAAAAGAATGAAAGACACCTGGGCGAGCGCGCGCGCTCGTGTGCTATGGACGGCGCGCTCGTGCGCGCTCTGAAAATTCGCTCCAGAAAGGCGCGCTCAGGGCGCGCCCTGCAGAGAGAAAGACAGAGAAAGAGAAACTATGAGAGAAAGAGAGAGAGAGAAAGACAGCAGGGCGAGCCCGCGCGGTCGTGTGCTTTGGACGGCGCGCTCTGGCGCAATTTGAAATACGCTCCAGAAAGGCGCGGTCGCAGCGCGCTCTGCAGAGAGAAAGACAGAGAAAGAGAAATATAAAGGGAAAAGAGAGAGAGAGAGAGAGAGACAGAAAGAAAGAAAGAAAGAAAGAAAGAAAAGAAAGAAAGAAAGAACGAACGAAGGAAGGAAGGAAAGAAAGAAAGAAAGACAGAAAGAAAGAAAGGCAGACAGACAGACAGACAAGAAAGGAAAGGAAAGGAACGGAACGGAACGGAAAGGAAAGGAAAAGACAAGAAAAGACAAGAAAAGAAAGAAAGAAAGAAAGACAGCAGGGCGAGCGCGCGCGCGCGCGCTCGTGTGCTATAGACGGCGCGCTCAAGTTCCAGAAAGGCGCGCTTACAGCGCTCTGCAGAGAGAAAGACAGAGAAAGAGAAACTTAAAGAGAAAGAGAGAGGGAGAGAGAGAGGGATAGAGAGAGAGAGAGAGAGACAGAAAGAAAAAGGAAAGAAAAGAACAGAAAAGAAAAGAAAGAAAGAAAGAGGAAAGAAAGAGAAAGAAAGAGAAAGAAAGAGAAAGAAAGAGAAAGAAAAGAGAAAGAAAGAGAAAGAAAGAGAAAGAAAGAGAAAGAAAGAGGAAGAAAGAGAAAGAGAGAAAAGAAAAGAAAAGACAAGAAAGGAAAGAAAGGAAAGAAAAGAAAAGAACAGAACAGAAAAGAAGAAGACAAAAAGAAAGAAAGAAAGAAAAGAAATGAAAAGAAAAGAAAAGAAAAGAAAGAAAGAAAGAAAGAAAGGAAGAAAGAAAGAAAGGAAGAAAGAAAGAGAGAGAGAAAAGAGAAAGAGAACAGGGCGCGCGCTCGTGTGCTATGGACGGCTTACTGGGCTCTTGTCCTCCTCTTGTCGTCTCTGCTGGGCTCTGTGGCTGGGCCTTGTCCTCTTCTTGTCCTCCTCTTGTCCTTGTCTTGGCCGCGCCCCTGAGCTCTGTGGCTGGGCTCTGTGTCGGTGTCTTGTCCTCCTCTTGTCCTTGTCTTGGCCGCGCCCCTGAACTTGGCTGGTCTCTGTGGCCCGGCTTACTGGAGAGGAGTGTGGCCGAACAAATAGCGATGTCAATGCAGACAAAAATTCATTGATGAAGCAGTTTGCTCTTGGGGTGAAAGTAGGGCTTTGACTAGTTTTGGTTTAAACGAATCGTTTTGAAGCTGTTTGGGGTCTATGCTTGTATATATTTTGTGATTCTTTTCATTTGTCCTGATCAGTGCCATTTTGTTCCCCTACGAGGCCACGCTCAGCAGCTAAAGAAGAGAAGGTGCTGAGAAGCGGGTGGTGACACAGACTATAGGCACTGAAAGGTGGACTGCCAACCTGGATTCCTCTTTTTCCTTCCAATTTTTTTGATGGTCTAACCCAAAGATTACAAAGATTACTTTCACCAACCGGGACAGCCCAAGAGGACAGCCAAAGATCACTCCATGTAGGCGGTCGGAAGGAGGAAAGTGGAGTTCTCTTGAATTTTTGTTTCCGACTGTTGGTTTGGGTGACAGACTTTCATCTTGGCATTCCATTTAGCATTTTTGTTGAGACTTGTAACATTGGTGCTATTTTGCATGAGGTGCGTTGTGTTAAATCTTGGCTTGCTCTCCATCAGATTGAAGTCAGGTGGCTCCTGAAGAGTGCAGCCCCTAGAGTTTGTTGTGGTTGTGACACTTGAAGAAGACAGGCCGAAATGGTTTGCTTGTAGCCAGAGACGGTGCCATGTCGCCAACGATTTCCAGTTGACCTGACCAGACGAGCCGCCCACGATGATGTCGCTTGGCCAAACCGCAGCGTCTTGGCTCCACGGCTTCCACGGTGTCCCTCTGCTCCAACACTGCGCGCAAGGTCACCAACGGGATCACTTTGCGCAATACTGCTGTTCTTTCGGGCCAGGTCCGAAAGTTTTGCAAACTGTGTTTTAGCGTCCGCGAGAAAACTGGGCGATGGGGATATGTACATTATATATATATATATAATATATATATATATAGTATATTAATATTAATATGTGGCTCAAGGTTTTGGCTCGAGGACTCAGGTGGCTCAAGTCCTTGTGCTGGGCCTTTCACGTGTTCTTCGCGGGTCCCTGTCTACCACACGGGTGGCCTCGACGACGGCCTTGACATCCCGGACCATGACACCAAGCTGGCGATCCAAACCATGCAGGACCCACCAAGTGTGCTGCGCTGGTGACTGCTCCAATTGGATCTGGGATGACCGGGCCAGAGAAGGCTACTGTATGTTTGCCGACGGTGTGGAGAGCATTGGAAGCGGCCACAGTGACATGACTTACTCATTCCCTCACTCACTCACTTCCTCCGTCCCTGTCTCCCTCCCTCCCTCCTCCCCCCTCCGTCTGTGTTTTGTAGGGTCCTAGGTTCCCCTAGGCGTGTCCACGCTATACGTGTGTAGCGCCTGTTGTCCGTAGTTATAATTGATTTGGCTCAAGACTTTGAAGCTCGTGTTACTCGCACGCTTGCATCGTGAGAGGGTCTTACGTGGTGTATTCGATCAGGCCCCAACTTACCCCTCCCTCCCTCCCTCCCTCTCACTCACTCATTCACTCACTCACGCACTGACTCACTCACTCACTCGCTCGCTCACTCACTCACTCACTCAGTCAGTCAGTCAGTCCTTCCTTCCTTCCTTCCTTCATTCATTCATTCATTCATTCACTCACTTTCACCTGGCCACTTACTTGCTTCTTTCTTTGCTGACTTAGTCACTCATGCCTTCGCTGAGGTTGTCACACAGTCGTCACCCATTCCCTCAACAAAGTATCTTTTTTGTTTATGTGTTCTCATGTCTGTGCCTTTGCGTGCGTTTCACTGGTTGATTGGGTACCGAGGTACTTTGTTTTCTGATGGTCTGAGTGTTTTTATCCGCCGGTTTTTCGGGCCCAAGGTTCAGGGACGCTTTTGGGGACTGTGGCGCAAGAAGAGGAGTCGTCGTTTAACAACAAAACGTTTCCAAAAGAAACGCAACTTGCCCCGGCAATGTTGGATCCGAAGAGTCCAGTAAAAGCGTCCGCCAAGGTCCAGCCTGAGTACATTAGGAAGAGACATCTCATGCTCATGAGAGACATCTCATCACATCTATCCACTGCAATCTTAAAGTCTTGGAAGGAAAACACATTGAAAGCTGTGTCCAAAATCGACATTCTGACGTGTTTTCTTCTATCCATGGCGCCGAAGCTTGGACATGGCTCCGAAGCTTTCTCGACGCAAGCCTGCGTCTGCGGGTGTTTTGAAGAAGCCTGCCGCCCAGCGGCAGGCAGCACTGACTGTGACCTGTGAGAAGGCGCACTTGGAATTCGATTCAGTTGTTGCAGGAGGTGAGAAATTTGGTGGATTGCGGAGTCGCGCGCACTTTGAACAATTGGCAGCGCAAGGTGACCCAGATGTACATTCGCTTCTCTTGTCGGGAGTGCAGCCAGGGCTGTCGCCGGCATGCGTTGCTACGTATGATGTCCCTGCTAGAAAGCTGGTTTTGAGAGCGACGCCGACGTCGATGCACGCTGACCGTGCTCGGTTCCTTGGACGCTGAATTTTTCATTTTTTGACCACGCTATTTTCAAACGGATGTTTGAGGTAAGCTCAATTCAAAAGCTTGTGTTTGCAGTGACGCAGCCTTACAGGGTGGACAGGCGTGCATCTTCATCGAGTCCTTTGACAGAGAGGACGAAGGCTGCAGTGAAGGCCTATGTTCTGCGTGCGCGTGATTTTCGGATCGAGCAACTGTTGCAGGACAGGCAATGGCAGGGGAACATTGTTTTCGTTTTAAGAGGTGTCCTCCATCATCCTCCATCATTGTGATTCTGTGCTTTAGCAGCGATGTTTTGCATTTGCAGGAGCTGATGACCTGAAAGTTGCAAGAGAACACTCCGTCGGAAGCCGCTGTGTCCAAGTACGTGCGAAATCTCAAATACAGAGACGAGCAGGCTTTTTGTGTAGAGCAACAGCAATTCTTATTCCGATGTTCTTGTGTAGGGTAGGTAGTGGTAGGTAGTGGGTAAAATTTAGAGAAGGATGTTGCCATTTCAACTTGACTCACCCTTTCTGGGTCAATGGAGGGGAAAAATTTAGAGAAGGAAATGGCCCTTCCAACTTGACCCACCCTTTTGTGGGCCATGCAGGGGTAAAATTTAGAGAAGGATGTTGCCCTTCCAAGTTGACTCACCCTTTGGTGAGGCACCCGAGGGTAAATTTAGAGAAGGATGTTGCCATTTGAACTTGACTCACCCTTTTGTGGGCAGGGTAAAATATAAAGAAGGAAGTGGTCACTCCAACTTGACTCACCCTTTTGTGGGCAATGCAGGTCTAAAATTTAGAGAGGGAAGTGGCCACGCCAAGTTGACTCACCCTTTTGTGGGCCACGCAGGGGTAAAATTTAGAGAATGACGTTGTCATTTCAACTTGACTCACCCTTTTGTGGGCCATGCAGGGGTAGAATTTAGAGAAGGATGTTATCCTTCCAAGTTGACTCACCCTTTGGTCAGCCACCCGAGGGTAAAATTTAGAGAAGGAAGTGGTCGTTCCAAGTTGACTCACCCTTTGGTGAGCCACTGGAGGGTAAAATTTAGAGAAGGAAGTGGCCATTCCATCTTGATGACCCTGTTCAGTGAGCGACGCAGGGGTGAAATTTGGAACACGCAGCAAGATTCGGGAAAGGGCCTGTGTGCGCACTTGAGTCCCCCCGATGGGGTGTGTGCGCGCTTGAGTCAACAAGTGTGTGCGCAGATGAGGCGCAAGTGCTGACAAAATGTGTGTGCGCAGATGAATCAAATCCGTGTGCGCGGATGAGGCGCCGCCCCCAGGAGGGGCTCGACGGCAGAGTGCTCGAGGTGCGGAGCCAAGACTAGGTTCCATGATGGAGTGCTGGAGCTCATTGACAAGCCCCGGAGGAGGTGTTTGGTCGACAAGTCAAAGGATTTGCGCCACTGGTTCGCGTAGCGCACCCTGGCACAGAAAATGTATATATATATATATAACTTTTTGCAAGTACATATATATATATATGTGTTTTAAGCCAACTTAGTGAATAGACATTTTTGCAACGAAGTTTGGAGGCCATGGCCCGCTCATCAACTCTGGCAGTCCTTTTGCTCGGCGCAGCCCTTCTCCAGCTCCTTGGTGCGATGAAGAAACGAAAGGCGTTTTGGGTGAACCGAACGAGTCGTGTTGAATCGTGCTGGTCGAGAAAGTTGGAAGTGCGCAACTCATTTGGCCTCCATGCAGCACCCAAATCCAGTTGCTGAGTGAAAGTCCCCAATCGCCCAGGGTGCTGACCTTCGTCACACCGGGGGTGCCTACTGCACGAGTGAACCGCTCCGTGACCGTCTTTCGCAAGGCGCAATTTGTTGCAAGACTACATGTGAAGCAGAGTAGAACGGAAGACAAACCTAGGAGACCTAGTTAGTCCTAGGTCCCAGCTTCTTGAAGGTAATTTTGCCGTCCAGTTCGACGTTTTTTTTGCGGCAAGGCAACAGCGACAGATGACACCATGGGCAAGGCTGGGTGACTTCACAAGTGAAGATGCAATTATATATAGAGACCATCTCATGACCTTCAGAGACCATACATTGAAGCCATGACATGGCAGATGCTCCATTATATTGAAATCAGTATTTGCCTTCTGGAAAGCTTCTATCTCTCTGACAAGCAATCAGAAATTGGCCTCTTTTGTTGGGTTTGGGTGAGGAAAAATGTACATTCGTCGCATTGCGATCCAGTGCCGGATGTCCCTGAAGACCAAAGCAACTATAGGTGGCCTTAAGAACCAGGTAAGTAGTGCAGCGAAGGAAATCACACATCTAAAACAAGATTGGTGCAAGTGCACGTTTGCAGACTGCACAACCGTTGCGAGGACCCTTCATCTTGTCCTAGCTAAAAGCAGGGCCCAGTAGGAAGTAAAAGTCATCATCCAAGCAGATACTGGCTGAGCGGGCCGGATATCCGGTATATAATCGCATATAGCTTCTTTGCACACGGTAGGTTGTGGGTGCCGCGTGCCCCTGCTAAACAGCGACAACTAACCCTAGATTGCAAGGGAAGGTCTTAGGAAGGGTTTATTGGTGACACCACCAAAACATTTCTAGCCACATCTCAGATGCTGAGACTACTTGAAAACAGCTACCAGCATGACCTGATGGTGGGTAGTATCCGGCTTCTTGTTCGTGTGACGTGAGTAGCTGACTGAGGTCGGGTGACCTCTTACTTGCGGTCCCTTTCCTTTTTTTTCGGTCTTAGCAACCAACAACTCATCAGGTTGCGGAAGTGATCGCTGAGCAACTGGGCGTGGATAAGGATAAGGTCACCCGGGAGGTGCATGTGGGAGGGCTGTGGCCGCTTCATGGAAGCGCTTATTCCAACTCAATGAAAGATGAGCAGGAAAATAGGTTTTGTCCAAACTAGAGCCCTTCCAAACTCATCTAAAAGAGTGGCAAGATGTGAATTCGTCTTGGATCTTCGACATGTGTGGACCTTGCAGCCCCTCACCGGGGCACCGGCGGAATGCTGCCAGGCCACGCTGTCTGAGCTGGGCGCCGACTCACTGGACATCGTGGAGTCCGTGTCGCTGAGCCGAAGCGGACCCATCGGGGGGGAAACATGGTAAAATGGGGGTTCTGAGGAGTTTT